GACGTTATAGTTATTCTATACCTCGCAACTACTTCAGGATTTGTTTATAATAACATTTGAATAATAAAGTAAGTCGTGGCACAGTCTCTCGTGGAAAAACTTCTTCGAAGCGAGCCAAACTTCGTCGTAAAGAACCAGCTTACGCTGAAGCTGAAAATAGTTCTCGCTATGGGTCTCATAAAGTCCGTGGCACATACTCGTACAAAAACGTAAAGCAGTAAGATATAAACAATAAGGAAATCGTAACATTGGATTCGCTACTGGCCTTACTGTGATTGGCCAATTCTGCTTACTGCCTTACGTTTATGTGTGTGCCATCAGCTTAAATTTTCGCCGCTGAGCGCAACCTGCGCTCGACGCGAAATCGCCTCAGCGTGAAACTTCTGACAGCACCTCCGAGGAAAAGAACGGGACACGGACAGGAAATGTCGCACAGAACGCACACGCGCATGTGCGCCTCTCTATTTTTGTTATCGTAATAAGAGAAGAGCGCTTTTACTATGCGGGTTTCGTCGTTGCGTGCGATAGCGAAGCGTATCCCGGAAATCGTTATTATCCATCGACGACAACGATCGTGAACTGCAGAAAGCGACGTCGCATTGTTTGTAGCGTGTAGAATGGATTTTGACAATGGAAAATTTCCTACGAAATCTAATTCAATGTAATGTAATGAAAATTCACGAATTATGAAGGGTAGACTTCGCTAAATCGAGAAATGAACGGAAATTGAGAAATAAAACATTCTTAGAAACAAATCATCACAATTAAAAAAGTTTGTGAAAGCCAACACTGGATGGAAATTGTGTAAAAAGTATATATATTTAATCTTAATCAATACATTCTTTTACAATTTCCATCCAGTGTTGACTTATATGAGTTATTTTATTTGGAGAGTCTCTCTCTTTGTTTTTATACACTGAGCAAAAAATATAAATCCTAAATTTTAATAAATAGTAATTTGAATAGTACAAACTAAATATTGATTAAACATATAAATATTTATTCGGTACAAAAAATATTAATTCGATTTAACAATCACTTCTTTTTATTCAGTAAATATTTATTTATTGCAAGTAAATGTTTAGTTAGCAGTATTGAAATAAATATTTATTTAAATTTAGGCTATTTTTTTCTCAGTATACATTATTTTTATAAACCTTCCTTGCAATCTAAAAAAATTTCACGTCGCTCGTTGTCTCGCAAATTCTACGTTAGAGAATACAACATACGTCCTTCATCATAATTTTATGAACTCGCACTCATTCGCTATTCAGCCCGCGAATGTAAAATCCGCAAGAAAACGATGGTCCCATGTAGTGAAAACCCGTCTCTCCCTCCGTGAAATGAAACAGCCGACAAAAGGCTAACCGGTTTCCGGAAATGGGTTGCGTCGTCCTCGACAGGCTAAACGAACGTGCACGTGCAGACACAAAAAGATAAAAGGGTTACCCAATCCAGATAACGTTGCAACTACAATTGTAGCATGGTCTCCCTAAATTCGATAAAATTTAGCGACTCGTGAGAAAAAAAAGAAACAAAATTAAAAAAATTTCAAGTTTTGCAATTATAGAAGTACCGTTAATTAATTCGCTCTCCTCAAAATGCAGGGGTTTGCTAAATAGATCGGGAGGACTTTACAATAGAAATTATGGAATTGTCGGAACAGTGAGCTCTGTAATATGGAACTCACTGGAGTGAGTCATCAAGGTGTGCGGGTGTCCCAATTCCTAGACAATGACACTCTGATGCATAAATCTAGGGGATCAAACCAGGGTGAAAGTAACACGCATGTAACATCGCAAGTTTATTTAAAGTAAATGAACGAATTCAAACATGTTCTTGTACTACTTTATAGTATGTGATACTGAAGAACTTACTGGCAAGGACACATTTAAATTTGTTCATTTATCTTAGTTAAACTTAAGTTAAACAATATTATATTCGTCCAGTGTTACTTTAATCTTTAATCTTTCCTACTGCGTTTTCGACGGAACACCGATTGGTTAACCACAAGTTTTACCTATTACAAGTAGAAGAGTTAGAAAGACAAGTATTTGTCCTTTCTTTTCTTCATCGGATTGTAGTTTTTTTTATATCGTATAGGAAAGGTTCACTCTAGGATTGATTGCGTATCTCAAAACAAGATTGAAGAAGAAGGAAATTGCTCACAAAGGACAAATTTACAAAAAAAACGTATTAGATATTAACTAATAAAATTATAAGCATTCTAGTAAATTCGCTCACTTTTGTCCTCGTTTCAAGATTCCTGTAGTATATCATAGAGCTCACTGGTGGAATGAGTTTCGATCAAAATTGTTCCACTATTCCCTATATTTCTATTATTTTCTAAGGAAAACGGAATATCGATGGGGATCCATTCCAAACAGTTCCATATAACACGTGCCCTGGCGTTCCTCAGCATCGTCACTGTCGACCTCGATGGAATTTTTCAACGCAACATATTCTTACCGTATATATATCACGCGTATTTTCGCGCGGGACCGACCTCCCGTTAAGATGTCTCGACGATTTTTTTTTTATTCACTAGGTGTTCCCTGACTGGTTCCCAAGGGCCCCCTTTTTCCCCTTGACTCATCGCGCGTTACGTCAGCGTCCCCGATTCGGCCGTGTAGAGCCGGGTGCAGAAAAATGCAGCGGGACGACTTTCCGTTTCGTGCGATCGTATATTAGCGCGGCGCAGAAACGCGCGCGATCGATCCCATCCTCGGGTTAATCAAATAAAGAACATCACGCCAATTGGAAATTTCCGGTGGACAACCTTATCGCCGAGGAGAAACCTCATTGTAGACTGGCCAATCGATTTGTCACCGAAAGGACAAATCTATTTTTTCCTTTTAGATCGTACGATTCGTACTCTCCAAAACTTTTAGAGTGAATTATTACTCTAAAGAGTGACATCTTACTCTTAGACTTGAAAATTAAGTCACTCTTTTTTTTTTTTTAAGACTAGCTTAATTTTCGTCTTTTAGAGTGAGATTCCGCTTCAAAAGAATTTAGGGATTACATTTTGTCTCGCAGAAGTTACAAAAAATTGCGACAAGCCGCACGTAAATCGCACTCTTATCTGGACTGATTTTTCAACGTACGATGATAGACACGGTTTAAACGTGTCTCGCCCGTCTCTTTCGCGTGACTCATCTCGTACGAAGGGGAAAAAAAAAAAATTATAAAATCGAAGCAGCTTACAGTACGTACGTGACTGGTTTTCTGTCTGCCCTCGGCAGTTTACGGACGCAATATTTTCGATAGCAGCGAGTCGCGACAACGGTTCTCTTTGTGCGAGCCGCGATTGATAATTTCCTTCACCGTAACGACACCATATGCATGTCGATACGTCGCGACCTGCATTTGCGATACTCTCTTCTATATCCGTCAAGGCAAAGAAAAAAAAATTGCTTACCGAACGGAGGTTCATGACCGGAGTATCAATGAGTCATATCGATTCCTCGCTTCCATGAAAGACAAACTGGTTTGCGGAGATAAACGTCGTTTAATTGTCAATCTTCAGAGTCAATAATAACACAACGCGCTTTCTCCCTTTCTCTTCCTCTCTTTCCCCAACTTAGTCTTCTCTTTGTTTGCGAGTATCGATCGTACGTTCCTTAGCATCCTTTACTGAAGGAATTAATATTTCACATCGTGTTTAGATCGTATCTAAATACATAATTAAAAGATCAAAGCTGATAAGTAAATGATCAAGATGATAAGTAAATGATCAAGATGATAAATTATTAAACGGTTAAGGTGATTATTAGCTCCGCTCATAATATCTATGTATTATAATTGATAATAACAATTGACTAATAAAC